TAGAAAAACATTAAAGGGTAGTCATTGTTCCACACATGTGCGAGATATTGGTCTCATATAAACAAAGTTGGCAATTTTGACTGTTGCGCACACCAACTAGTACAAACTGTGAGATTACCAAGCTTTATTTAGGTATTTTTTTGGTGTTTGGAAGGTATCAAGGGAGTCGCCGACGGTAATTAATGCAAGTGGGGCCCAGAACAGACAGAACTCATACTTGTGATTTCAATAGAAAAGTACACTGGATTGTGTGAAAATAAATGTTTATCAACACAAATGTCGCACATGCGTGGTGTGACGACCACCAACCTTTAAATAACTTTGTTGATTAATGGTGCAATATTTTGATCAGTATACCTCGCGAATGCTGTAAATTTACAAAGTTTTGTCAACAATACGACTTTATGTCTATCTGCTGTAAACAGCTCCCATCAAGGTTTCGTTCTAGGACTTTTAATTGCTTTATAGATTACTACATAGCTTGATGTGTCTCAATAATATGATAATAAATTGTCTATGTGTGGAGATTTCCTCTATGAAAGGTACAAATATACAACCAGGAAATACACCACTAATAATAAACAATAATTATTGGTGACTGGGTTTCTTTACATGGGGACTATAAAGGAAAGTAGAGGATTGGTTGTATATGCAGCACTGTCTACATCAAAGGTTTAGAGTGTTGGTTAGTAGACAACAAACATCCTCGTTTCATGGCGATTTTTTCTCCTCCCCAATCAATGATGCCATAGTGTACATTCAATGATAACATTCTTGTTATATGCTTGTACTTACAAGTAAGTGACTTGGTTTCTTGATTCAGTGAAAATAAAATATATTTTACATTCAACTCATCAAAAAACAGTGAAAATAAATTCCATACAAAACACCCAAAAAGTCTTTTCAGGAAAAATTAATTCTAGCTAAAATAAAGTATTTTACAGTATCATATTTGCTACATGTCAGGTTTTCCATGTTTCAAATTACAAACAAATGTGTTATCGCCAAAACATCAGTGTTTGACTTCATGGTTTACGCCCTCTGGAGGTGAAATGACTACATGTTATAAAAAGGATGTTTTGTCATCTACTTTTCAACACATTCTAAACCTGTGATTTACCGGCATATTGGTACATACAAGTTTGTATTTTTATAGATGTTGTATTCATAGATTCCAAACCTGCAAATTTCCATGTCAAATTATTGATATACACAGTAAAAAAAAATTCATCTTTATTGTCAGTTCCAATAATAGTTGCCATTAACAAGATCGATAAATCAGACGCTGACCCTGTAAGTAGAATTACTCATTACGCTATATCGTTTATTAACATTTTATAACTAAGTGCAATGGTAACCAAAGGTAGATAAAATGTAAGGGTCTGTAGGTGTGGTGTCATACACTGGAAATTTCACTAGTTATGAAATATCATGAGACGAACATTAGATATTAGTCAGCAATTCTGCCGTGAAAATAATGATTATGATTTGTCTTGGGTCGTTATTCTAAGGTCTTTTCATATTTGTATGTGGTAGCAGAGTATGTAGGATGCTCCATGTTTTTGCCATTTTGGGTAAAATCGTATGTTCGATAATCTTATTTATTTCAATTGAACCTTTTCATGGTTAACAACGAGTTTCAATAGAATTTCATTTCACAATTGGTCGTTCATTGGTTGTTGAATGACACGCAAGTGGACTTCGCACATTAATATGAATTTTATATCCCTGTAGTATGTACAAGTTCACATCATATGATTTCCATGAGATTTTCATCTCATTACCAGGCAATAGTTTGCATGCCCTTTATTATTTTATCTGCCGTACCTTTGGTTGGTAGCCATTATTGTGAAAATACTTAACAAAATATAGGAATGACTAGCGAGAAAATAATTTGGATACAAAATTATTTTGAAGCTCTAATATAGATTGTTGGTTGTTGAATATATGGACTCTCTTTTTTATTTAAGGATTTTACAAAGAAAGATCTGCTAGCGCATGGTGTCCATATTGAGGAATTAGGAGGAGACATCCAAGCAGTTGAAATATCAGCAGTTCAGGTGAGTGTCATCTAACGCTGCTGTGAAACCTTAACGATATATGTCTCTGCATAATGGAATAACTCTTTGTTTTTTTTACACCCACTTATTTTACATGTATTATCATATACCTCGTATTACCCGGCCTTGAAACGCTATGGGAAGTGCGCCCTCACATCAGGGCAACAATTTCCTGTATCACGCCTAGCCCAGCGCGCCCGGCTTTCATAGATCAAAACAAAAAGTAGGTTGTGTGTTTCGATCACTTTTTGGTAAAATTGTAATTAGACCTATAATGTATATGATATAATCTTTATGAACTGGATACCAATTTTTCTGCACTCAGTCATACAGCTTACGCGCCCTAGAAAGCTTGGGCACTTTCACCTCATTACCTCTGGCCGCAAAAACCATATCCAGTCCATAAAAAATATTATCACATTATTGTTTTATTATTACTTGGTTCCTCTACACTAGGGGACCAACGTTGACGTTTTAACCGAAGCCATCGCAGCACAGGCTGAAATGATGGAACTCAAAGCTGATGTAAAGGGCTTTGTGGAAGGAACAATACTAGAATCAAGATTGGATAAAGGGCAAGGGTTAGCTTATATTTGATTATATTTGACAAATAAAGCTGTTTTTATTTTTTATGGAACCATGCTTTATCTATTATATTATAGGTAAAGGCTTTTGGTTGTCGGCATAATAACTTGGATATTGAAACAAAATGACTTTAATTTGCATTGAAATATGAAGAAATTTGTCTTGGTTTTAATATTTTGTATACATATCTAGACTGACTTGACTTGATTCTATCTTTCTGATTACTCGTTGACTGTCAATTAGTCTGCTTTTGAATAAAATTGCATCATCCTTCATCATATTCTTTCAGCCCGATTGCCACCGTGTTAGTTCAACGAGGAACGCTGAAAAAAGGGTGTGTTTTAGTTGCTGGAACATCACGGTGTAAAGTCAGAGGAATGTTTAACGAACATAGACAACCTTTAAAAATAGCTCTACCGAGCACGCCTGTTGAAATAACTGGTTGGAAAGGATTGCCATCGGCTGGCGAAGAAATGTTACAAGTAGAAACTGAGGTAGGTGTAATTAATGTTGTGGCATGATGACCGCGACTCTTGAATATATGTAGATGCCTTATATTTTATACACAACAATAATTCTACAATGGAATCATTAAAGACAGGGTTTTTTCTAGAAAAAAACAGCAAGAGGGAGCACTGCAATTCAGTGGCGCCACCAAGTCGGGGAGATAGGGTTACCCCTACCAGGGTGTGGAGTTTTTGATAATTCTAAGTTAAAATGGAGTGTTCTATGGCTTCCTTGGGGCCAAAATTACTATCAGACAGGTCACAGTTGAAGACTGTGGCCACATGTGAACCCTGGTCAATCAGAATTTTATGGTTGCCAGAGGATCTGCTCCCCAGGGTAAGGGGGTGCATGGCCATGGCGTGAGGGCGCTGTGCCCCTGTTCCATTGTTTAAAAAATCCCTGAAAGAGATATTTTTCACATGCTAAATCTGCAAGACTTTTTCCAACTTTGCTCTCTGCAAAATGTTTATCACAACCAATCTGCTTAAAATCCAATGTGGGTATAGGCTAATTTTTTTAAAATTTATATAATATATATATTCTGTAATGTTTTGTTTATTTATGATTTTTTTCTTTTACTTTATTTTTTTTTACAGAGCTATAATATATAAAAAAACTTAATAATGGCAACAGCAAAAATTTTTTAATAATTTTAAAAAGAAGCCTATTGAATTTTAATCCAATTTGATCAGGACTGATGTGCAATGGAGAATTCTGTCCATTTGAAACAAAATTAACCAAAAAAATGTAAAAGTATGAAAAATATTACACAACTGTGAATATATTGGTGGGAAAAATTATGGAAATATCAAGAGGGAATATACAACTATTGTGTAACTGGCTGTGTTATTTATTGTACATATACTTCTGTAAAGTTGTTAGCATTTCAATTTTTCATCTTCCTGTTGGTGTAGAAAAAAGCTAAAGAAGTTACTGATTGGAGAATTGTAGAAAAAAAAGAAAAATTATTGTCAGAAGAAAAGGAGATTATACAGTTGAAAGCTGAAGAGCAGAAAGCGGCACATACACAGAAAATGATGGAAAGGAGTAAACTACATTGGAAGGAATACCACCGACTACAAGTCGATAAAAATAAGAAATTAATGGAGGAGCAAAAAGATCGCAATGATCCCGTACTTAATGTTATTCTTAAAGGTATATATGAAATGATAATGTTTGTGGAACATGTTGTTGTCGAAAGACTTGACAGAGCAGAATTACAGAATTTATAAGCTGTAATTCTGAAACTAATTGGATAAATACAAGTGTCGCCAGCATCTCTATTTTTCTCTATCTATGCGACTTTTTTCAAACCTTACATTTAGACTACACCTTTTTTGTTGATTTTTTTTTTTTTTTTGTATTTCATTTAATTTTTTTTTTCCTGTTGGGCATTTGATTCAATACTACCAGTATTACTGTAAAATACTTTATTTTAGCTGGAATTAATTTTCACTGAAAAAACTTTTTGGGTGTTTTGTATGCAATTTATTTCCACTGATATCTGATGAGTTGAATGTAAAATATAGGAAAAAGGTATATTCGCTGCATTTCATTTTCACTGAATCATTCCTTCAGTGAAAATAAAGTATCCTACAGTATTTCAAAATTGACCATATGTTAATTCATAAAACATTTTGAAACTTGTGAAATTTCTCCTGTTAGTAAAGTCTCTTTATTGGAATTCAGGTGATGTAGATGGCTCCATGGAAGCACTTCTCAACATGTTCCATACATATAACTGCCATGACCTATGTGATTTACAGCTGGCACACTGGGGTGTTGGCATGGTAACCATCAAAGACATTGAAATGGCGCAAATGTTCAACGGTAAGTGATGCAGAGCTCCTGGGATGAAAATTTAAACCGTCTAAATCTATAAGCGATTAGAAGTAGGAAGTTACTGATTTCATTGTGGGGTTGTTTGTTTGCATATTCTCTTCTCAACCATATGCATGTGATATAAATTTATGCATTCAAAACCATCTTCTTGAGTAATAATGCTTACATTGACAATGTTTATTGTCCAAATTTCTATCGCTGTTTGACACTCATACTTTTATACCTTCTGTCATGCTGTGCAAATAAAACAATTTTTTTGCATACAACAATTTCCAATCACTATTAAAGTATGTATGTTCATATACATTCTTCTGTTAGGAATCGTATATGGTTTTAACGTCACTGTTCACCCGGAAGCTCAGATACTCGCAAGAAAAGAAGGAGTGACTATTAAATTGCACAAAGTTATTTATAAATTATTAGACGATTTAAAAGATGATCTCAGCTCTAAGTTGCCATTGAAAGAAGAGTATGAAGTTATTGGTGAGTTTACGTACTACCAGGTGGTAAGGAATTTAATGTCACTGCATAGTCACCAGCATGGATGTGTTATGGTGCATGTAATTCAAAAGTTAAATATAGAGGGGCAAAAAGAAGATATATCTGTGTTGGAGATGGTGGAAGATTGAAAACAAAAATTACAAAACATTATCTTATTATTCTCATCTTCTGTTTGCCATTTAATATAGTGTTGTCTTCATTAGTGAAGTTTATATTTCATTCAGAGGGACATTTTGCTAGTTGTTTATAATGGTAGCTTACTAAACACAATATACATGTAAATTTTCATTTATCGCAAGCAAAAATAATGCCACCTAGAGTCAATTCCCCCAGAGCTGATTATTCACTCTGTGATTCAACATGTTTTAGCATCTGAAATTTAGTATCCTGTGAATAAATTTGCAGACTGATTTACTTACAACTTTATAATAACATAACATATTCGAAACGATTAGACACTATGTAAAATCAATAATTTTTTCCATCAGAAATTTTCAAAATTGATAATTTGAGAATGAGGGCGAGGACATAATTTTTTGAGTTCGCAATACTGTTACACGAAATTTTTAAAACGAATCAGTAAATAATACTGTGTAGGAATCTTGCAACTTTAAGCAGGTGTACATCTGACACATTATAACCATGCCCACATTTATTTGCATACAGGTGAAGCCAATTTATTACAAGTGTTCACAGTGACTGATGGGAAGAAAAAAAGGACAGTAGCTGGCTGTAGGGTTACTAAGGGAAATTTATTAAAAAATGGATATTATAAAGTGAATCGAAGAAATAGTACTATATTAACTGGTTAGTATGCAATGTGTTGAATGCATTTAGAGTTAATTGTATACAGTTATTGACCTTGCCTGAGGCTGATATCAAAAATTATTGTCCCCAAGTGACTGTTATTGACCAAAGCTAGCGAGTGAGCAAAAAAATTGTAAACGATAATTCTTGATATTGCCTGAAGCCAAGAACAAATATTGTTTTATTATCCCAAAAGAGAACAAGACAGTAAGCAAGCGAGGTAAAACTGTGAGCCAAAACGCAAACTTTCTGAGTTAAAATCAAAGTTTGCCCAAAGTAAACACAAAGTGTCATTCATCATTTTATCGTCTGATACCCTCTGAGTGTTTTGGATTCTATGACATCAGAGGACAGTAACACACAAAATTATGACAGAGGCAAGAAATATGTTGGGAGAGGCTAATATCAATATTTATGAAATGATCATGTGACCACTTTTAACCATAAACATTGACTGTCTCATCCTTGAGTGAAAATAATAAATACTATTGTTCTTCTACATAATATTGAAGTGAATGTGCTCAATATAATAACAGTAATATAATTTGAAAATAAATTTTGTAAATAAATGATGGTAAAACTCATCTAAAAGGCATTGTGTTCCAATTGAACAAATTTTGACAAGGCTTCTATAGGTTTGCTATGTTTTTGTATACATCACTATTCTTTAAGACTTATATATTGACAACTTTATTTTATAAATTTATTGCAACAACTGTTTTTTTTATTTTCAGGTTCGTTAACTTCAATGCGCCATTTGAAAGATGAGGTGAACACCATCACGAAAGGGATGGAATGCGGACTCAGTTTTGATCAATATGAAACATTACAGCCGGGCGATACTGTGCAATGTTGCGAAATTAAACAAATACCGCAAAAGATTAGCTGGGATCCTGGATTTTAAAATTGGCCGATTTAATTTGGGGGAATTTATTCCAGCCACATGCCTTGGTACAGTTTAAAATAAATGTGAAAACATTAAGTGCTTTACTCCTTTGATATTTGGCAGTTAGTGGAACACTAATGGCAGATTACATGATGATGTTTTCTGTGTGTGTGTGGGGGGGGGGGGGGGTGTGTTACTGTGTCTGTTTACAATGCATCATGGTAGTACAGTTATAGCATAAATATCCTTCTCTGAATCAAATAAGATGCTGTGGGGGATTCAATATTATAATTCATTAATATATTTGTTACAATTAACCACCCGATTTCAAAAAGTCTAGTTAAATTTGGGAGCTTTTTTGTTGAAATAAATTTACCTGTGAATAGAGATGTCATAAAAGATGTCATAGTGGTGATTTATTAGACTATAATAAAAATATTTTTAATTTATAAACAAAATATTGTACTTTTATAAAAAAAAAAAGTATGAAAATTGTTGAATAAAGCAGTACTCTCATAGTGGTATGTTAATTATTGTTTAATCTTCTGATTTGTATGAGGAAATTTACCATTTGTTATTACGTGGTATCTGAAACTACTGGTAGTAAACTGACGTCATCAATCACTCCATGGTAAATATTTACTTTTTCGGAAGCTCAAAATTTGACATTTTCATTTGAATGGCCAAAGAGCATGGCAAGTTTAAAACCATGCACATATTGGACAACATGATAGAAATGCATTGTTTTCTTTCCCATCTAAAGCAATGCTGTGTTGTCTTCAGAAAATTGTCTCAGGGTCGTGGCTAATTAGCATACTAATTAACATAATCATTAGTTGATTAAAATGGGAATATATTGCCAAATATATATCATTTAATATTAATAATTGGTTACAATGCATTTTATACCTACAGTTTCAATTATGTAAATTTGATTTACTACTCCCTTAATAGCTTTGCACATATGCTGGTAAATATTCATACCATAACATGCAAACGTGACAATAAGGGTGACGTAAATATTTGTCATTCCAATGAAGTCAAACATTTAATAGCTCACAATGCCTTGATATTTATGAATGTTCAGAATTCTGATATTGCAATGTACTGTAAATACATTAATTATTCACTGGTTTTTAATTTTGCTGATCAGTAAAATCGGTTAAATTAAATTAAAATGTGAATATGTAAAATAACTAAAACTCATTTGTGAAATTGAAACGGTGAATATGCTCAAAATGGTGAAATTAAATGTCAGTGAAAATAAATGGTTTCACAGTATGTGATAACTCAATGACAGCCCAGGCACTGGAAATGTTTGTCTGAATCCAATATGGCTGACAGGTGACCATGACTTTCATTATGGAGTGCTATTTAGGTCACTAGTCAAATGTTACATAACCTTCAGTAGAAACCTTGGTTAAACTGAAGATATTTGGCAGGTGCTGGAAATGTAGTAATTCAATACTAGTATTTGCAATGATGCATGTGCTTGTCAATTTATGTAAACATCCCAGTGTTGTAAACGACCAAATTGTGCTACACCAGTTTAGTTTTGATTGGCAAAGTATGCATATGCTACTGTTAATTTTCTGGGAGATGCATGGCTAGGTTACAAAGCCCTTAATAGGAGTCTTATAATCCATTCATATAATTATGCTTGTATCTATTTCCATTCAGATTTCATTTTTGTATCTTTCTATTTTGTTTTAAGCAAAACTGGAGTAGAAGTGAAAGCGAGAGGGTTGTCACCTGCACGGGAATTGAGTTCCAAGCGACGATAACACACACTAAAAATGCAAAGGCTCATGGGTAGACGCTTGTTTGTAAACAATGACAAGCTATGGCCATCTGACACATGTGCGGGTGACGACTACCCCGCTTTGATGTTTGGCACTTTTTGGAAGCGGCCATTTTATTTTTTAACAAATAATGAGTTCTGAATTCTGCTGAAAACACAACTTTGATAGAAATGCATTAAAAAGGTCTTGTGTAATATGATCACATTTTACTGCATTAATATTCACAAGTAGTGTGGACAAGCAGAGATGTTTTTCTGATTGAAAATCTAGTCAAACTGTAGCGCCCTCTAGCAACGAATTAGTTGTGACATTTCTGATGGAGTAAATTATAGATCTTGGCACAGTCCCTCTATCTGGGCAACAATTCAGGTATTGAAAAAAACATGGCAGACCTACTCTTCAACTATTAATCACTTGGGGCCAGAGAATTAAGTGGCTGTTAATTTCTCTGGATATAGGATAACCAAATTGTACCAAAACTTTAGATTTTCTCCAGTCCCATCAACGTGTAATCAACCTTCCAAAAATATACATCTACATGTATATAAAATTGTTCCAAAATTAAGGCAATACATGTACATAACCTTGTACAATCTGGTTATACTGTAGAATACTTTATTTTCGCTGAAGGAATGACTCTGAAAATGAAAAACTGCGAATATACTTTTTTCTCCCTATATTTTACATTTGACTTGTCAGAAAGCATTGAAAAAAATTCCAAACACCTAAAAAAATTTTTCAGCAAAAATAATTCCAGTGAGAATAAAGTATTTTACAGTATATTATTTACCTGGGCATTTATATACATCGTTTCGGAGTAGACCAAATGAAGTAGGTGACTTTCTGCCAAGCATTCAGACTTGGGGAGGGAGTTTTGTTGAAACACACGACTAAATTTACCTAGAATCTGTTCTCTTCCCCCGACTTCCCCTAAGAAATTTGTAAACCTCACACAAGTTTACAGTATGCATGAAAACAGAAAAGACAAAATACAGCTTTTTTTTTTTTTTTGACAAGTGAGTTTTACTTGTTTATAGACTCTGTTGAATTACATTTTTGTATAAATTGTCAACAAATCTAAGCTTTATCTTCTGGTTTGTTGAAAACATACGTGAGGCAGCACTTTCCACAGTATTGTCTATCAAAGTGAGATGCCATGAACACCCCCGCACCACAATCTTCATTGGGACACTCACGACGCAGACGGGTTATCTTGCCATTCTCATCCACCTGTAAGAGATTGCATTCAAATATAATTTACATTTTTATGGATATTTGTCATATTTGCACAGTTCTCCAACTGACTTGAGGGACAGGGGGTGTCTTACTCTTTTGTATGCATAAGTAAGAGACAGGATTGCAGACTTCCACAAGAAGGTTGTTATTTGAGTTCACTATCACTGTTGGTAGTCACCCAATTCGGGAACCTATATTATTTTTGTGTTATGAATTCCACAGAAACCCTTATGAGATTACTGTAAATATTACATGTCTAATGCAAACAATTTCTCAAAATGAAATCTGTTGAGCAAATAATTGTTTCCACTGATCCTGACTAGTTTATAGGTTTGAAACCAGCCATTCAGAGTAATCCCAACTTCAGTACATTACTATGGGAATATGCACAGACTTGCCCTATAGATAAGAAACTGCCCCCACCATCTCTTACCAATTATTCAATAGTCTCAAAATCTTAAACTACACAACCTCACCTTGTAATATTTCAATACAGCCAGCTTAACCTTCTTCTTCTTATGCTTAGTTTTCTTCGGTGTTGTGAAAGTCTTCTTCTTCCTTTTTTTGGCACCACCACGAAGACGAAGTACTAAATGTAAGGTTGATTCTTTCTGGATATTGTAATCAGATAACGTACGTCCATCTTCAAGTTGTTTACCGGCAAAGATCAACCTCTGCTGGTCGGGTGGAATTCCTGAAACGATATTGACAAGTATTAATTAACAAGTGTTTAATAAGCTGTTTTTAATAACCAATTCTATTAAATATAATAGTCTCATAACAATTGTGAAGATGTTAAAACCGTAACAGTACCTTCTTTATCTTGAATTTTTGCTTTGACATTTTCAATAGTATCACTGGGTTCCACCTACAAAAAAAATGGAAAATTAGTGTCGTCCAATGTAAACTTTTTCAAATATGCAATATACCTATATTCTAGAAGTTGGTATCAGTAATTGCATTGCATCAATGCTTTAAATGGGATACACAATACATATACAATATGCTATGTGTGCAGCACAGCAATTTTGGTGTTCTCCTGTTGTAGACAAGTTGAAAGTTCTATGCTTGAGCTACAAAATTTGAGAAGCCTCAAGGTTTTCCAATATGAGGGCATCACAAGATAAACCTTTCTAAAAATTCTAATACAAATTGGCGATTCCATACAAACTGATTCAATGTTCATCTCAGATTGTTATTGGTATTAATACAAAAAGCAAATCTCACTCATTTCTGTATTCACACAAACCTTTTCGAGCATCCACTGCGCTCAATGTGCCTTTTGTTAGAAGTATATTCAATTGATGTGTGCCGAGTGGGATTGTTTTCAAATGCACACAAACTTCAAGAATTTACTTTTCATGCTATTGTCACATCACACATCGCCATATAGTTATGCATACTTTTATATATCCTTGATATTATGTTATCGAATAGGTAGAAATTCCATTAAGTATCACTGATTTACATCCTAGTATACAACTCCAAAATGCACTGAATTATAAAGGGCCCTGTCGCCTACAACTAATCCTAACCCTGCCCCTCCAGTACCCCTCTCCCTCTCAATTGTATTTGTCCTTCTGTGGGTCACTTATTTGGAGGGACATATTGAATTACATTGGGGGGGTTGCGTGTGTGGACTGCTAGGGTTAGGGATGAGGGGGCTTTACTGTGAGGAACTTGTTCCTTATAAAAGACCAATTCAAACTTGACATGGTTGTACACGGTCAATTCTAATGTACATTTCAGAACATGTATTACATATTACCGATATTTATCCTCATATTAAATATCACATTATTCGTCATCTATTGAACATATTTTCCACAAGTCTGGTGTTTGAGGGCGCAGTTAACATCGATCAATAGAAGCGTATTCGGTCTATTTTAAGCATTTTAAAGTAAAATTAACGACATTTTGGTCATCTATAAAATAAACCAAACACACCTTTCTGTTCGGAAAGAGACGTTTTAAAAAGTTGAGTTGGTTGTGAATGACTGAAGTTGTGTTTAGCATGTCCACACGTTTTGCAGTACACACGTACCTCTAAAGTGATGGTTTTACCCGTCAAAGTCTTGACAAAGATCTGCATGTTGACAGTTTAAAGCCACCTAAAAGAAAGGAAATCGTCTTAGCGCACTTCATTTCAATACAGTATTTCTATTACACGAAATATAGGAATTATAAGCAGGACAAGGTAAATGCATGCTCTCACCAAGATGGCCGACACACAGGAAAGACCGACGAATAGTCGGATTTCCCAAACTGAAATTGCACGGACATAACAAATGTCGCCACCTAGTGGTGGGATGTGAAGGCTAGAATTAACAAAATGGCTGCTTCCAAGAAGCAAACCCAGCGGTTGGAGACCGAAATTGAGAAACACAGAGCGGAATGCAACTGGCAGAAAGTAACTGAGATAGCCAAACAATTACACAGCAAAGGGTCCACCAGTCTAGGTGAGTATCATCGTTTTCCGGTTTGTAGTTTTCCACTTGTCCATGGAAAAATGGAATTTAATCCGGACGTTAATCCCTATCCCAGATCTGCTGAGAGGATGGAGGTGGGATGGGCTGTTAAAAAATAATTTCTGATGGTATATGTATTTATAGTAAAACCAGAAGCCATGTCATGTGTGCATTTGTACTGTGCATATTCAGAATATTGAATAAATGCATGCATATTTGTATGTTATTGTAATTATTAAATTATTAATAATCCAAATATTGGTGTAAATATTGTTCTTGATTCAAAAATTACATAAAAACGTGCATGGTGATATTTGATGAAGAATCGATATAAACAATTCAATGCAAATTCAAGTATAAATGGCAGTACATCGTTGTAAATGTTGAAATCTGTGTTTCAAATCTCATAGCTGTTACAAGATGGAATATTTATTTTTTAGATACCGGTATCACTATCACACCTAGTATCTATAAAAAAAAACTCTTCAGGACAAATCTCTTGCAGAAAATCTGTGTAGCCTAATATTCAGGTTGCGCTATATCATATGGGAATAAACATTTAAACTTTAAACATTTAGACAGCAATGTGTGATAGGGAATTTTGCTGCAAGAAAATGCAATAAGTTGAATATCCTTACTCAACCCCTCTCAGTAACCCTCATAACACTGACTACATGGAGTTTTTTTAGCATAGGTCAAAAATCTTATCACAATTTTGTGATATTGAAATATCAATGTGTATTACATGTGTTAATTTATGTACCTCATCTCTTATCTCAATGACAAATAGGACAAACAGTTCGCCACCAAATCTATTCAAGCAAAGTGTATTTTCACTGTGCAATTGCAAATTATGTCATTTATTTATGTACTTTTTATTACAGAAACGTTAACACACTTAATACTTGGTGAGAGCCACTTGGAGACATATTTAAAAGAACATCCATTAAAAGAAAAGAATCCTGACATTGCAGGTGCAAAAAAGACCCTTGAGTCTGCCAAGAAACATTTACAACATGCAATGAAAGGAGAAGCCAAGGTAAAACCATAGTATTAGAAGCTATCATGGCCATAATTCTTTCATTTAAAGTTTATGCATTTATCTGTGTATGCATATTCTTACATGTAATTTCCTGATGAAAGTACAAGCACCACATTAGTTCTGTTAGAATACTTCTCCATTAGAAACACACATAAAACCTCTAAAATGTATACTGCATTATTTACAAAGGGCAAAGCAATTGTGCTACCAATAGAAAAAATACAGTTATACTGTAAAATACTTTATTTCCGCTTGGAATTTATTTTAGCTATTTTCGCTGAAGGGATGATTCAGTGAAAAAATAATCTAGCGAATAAATTTTTTTTCTATATTTCACATTCAACTCATCAAAAATCAGTGAAAATAAATTCCATACGAAACACCTAAAATGCACTTTCAGCGAAAATTTTACAGTAGCTGATGGAAACAATTCAACAGGATGTGTTTTATTTGAAGGTGACTATTGGCGACAAAAATTAGAATTGTTATAAATTGTCATCACTCGAAATTAATTATTAGTACCAGGTACATACTGTTTGACAAAAACATAAACATGAGTTTGCAAACTCCAACATTTGTATTTACTTGAGGCTGATACCTCTTTCACACAGTATGGTTGGGTACAGGAAGCACGCCTTTTATTTGGAAAATTATATTACGCACTCAGTGATTACGAAGAGTGTTTGGGTTACTACGCCAAAGCTGGTTTGGATGATCTCACTGTGGAAACCATGTCAAACAGAAAACTTAGGATGATTGCTGAAGCTTTCGCTGTCAAAGGTAATCTCAGTTTTTACTGTGTATGTTTTTCATTGGCTAGTGTTTGTTTACAGGGTTGCCAAGAAAAGAAAGTAAAATACATGTTTATACCTTAGTGGAAGACTTCTGCCTTGATATAATAATAACAATAAAACTGTATGACAAATCCATAGTGTGGTGTGCTCATTGTACATGGAATTCTCCTTTTTCAAATAGTTCAAATTAGTTTTCAAACTGTAAATCTGCAATGCAATCCCTCACAATGTATTGTGGTTGATTATTAGCCACTATCAGGGCCTAAAACTAGGGCTAGAGAAATGAGCAGTGAGAGGGGACTGTGTTACTGTACAATGATTTCTCAGCAATAAACAGGTCAAATTCAAGCAAACTTGACAGGATTATCATATATGCAGACTTTAACCAAAGACAATAGTCTTTGCTTTAACTTACTATTTGTTATGTTTTGTGTTATTGTAGTGATTTGTTTTTCTCAGTGAACCTAGTTGAGTGCAGGCATAACAATGGTCTTAGTGAGCACTAGCTCATTTGCATGTAAAAACAAGGCATCGCAGAGAAGTAAAATTTTAAGTATAATGTATAATCAATACATCTTTGTGGATGATACATACAATCACGTTTTTTAATATTATTCCAATTTTTGAGATTTTAAGACTGCGTTCCGAATTTATAACTGGGGTGCTCCTAAAAGGAATGTCATGCTCAGCTTGGAGTTTTTGTCTAGAATAAAGCATGATTATGGCATTTTCATGTGTCATATTGTGCTCGTACTTTCATCTATCAAAATAAAAATATTTATACCACTCTTGCATGTTTATTCCTAAATCTGCACGTCTCTGTCTTTCTGCTAATAAGTGTAATTGCTGTAGGTAACTGTATCACAATTTGTAAAATGTTATTGTAAATCAGACCTTGCATCTTTGCCAAGACTGTAGTTTTAGTCTGGAGTTGACAAAAAGATAGTTATTCCTCAACCATTGAAAAAGTTAGCCAAGGATGGAGTTCAAACCCATCGACTGAGCTTTTGCAATTCTGATGGAGGTTCTAGGAAAAATCAGGCATTAGAAGGGTCATTTCAATGTCAAATGGTATGCATTGAATTACTTATGAGCAAAAGACAAAGCGTACAATAGATTACTTGTGTTTATGTGAATCAGCCACCAAGTTGCAGTTCAAGCAGTTGCTGAATCTTTCAAATTTATTGTTATTTTCATGGTACAAGTTTGAAATACTGATTTGAAAGTTCATGTTTACTGATATAATAAACCCACAGTTTTGGTGGGTTTATTGTCTATAAACTCAAACTTTCTTGTGATGTTTTTGATGCAAATAAATAATATCATTTATTTTAAATTCCCCACCTACTGATACTCTTTCTGATAAGCAGGGAAGAAATTAACCACAATACACATGCATACATTTAGTACTTTTCCCGCCAAAATGCTGCCAATTATTTTTCTTTCAAGTTGTGCTCAGTTATATTGCTAGAATATTTGGGAACGTTTCTGCAATTCATGTTATATTATTCTTTGAGAACCCTGCGGTTTATACAGTACATGTACCACGGTAGTATTAATTAAGGAACTTGAATAATAATTATTTTTTTTATGTAATTACTGATGACCTCATTGTCGATGTCAAGTTTTGCTTGAATAATTTTACCAGCATTTACATTGCTCTCATTTTTTGCCCTGTATGTGTATTTTTTGTATATTTTCTCTGGTTCACTAATAACACTTAATTTTATTATTCAGGCCACAATCTTTTAAGTTCATTTATTTTATAAAAACAACAAATAATCATTTATTAAACATAAGTGACTGAAGACATTTATACACTACTGAACAAGTACCAGATCAAAAAAATGAAAGAAAAATTAATTTTCGTGACAAAAAAACTTCAGAATACATATTAACCATAAATCGTTGAGCATTTTTCTTTCTGGGCAAGGAAGTAAGACACTATTTTTTCTTTTCTGGACCTTGAATTATTTTCTTATCAATCATATGGTGTACTTTACCTAGGTATGGCACTAGAGAAGTCTCCCCCAAAGACAACAAGTAAAATCAAAATAGCTCAGATGGAGGAACAAATAATCAGCTGTTACGAGAAATCAGGAGATATTGCGCTGTTGTATTTACAAGAATGTGAAAAAGGTCGATCCAGCTCTTTATCTGCTAGCAGCAGCAGCAGTGCATTTGCAGCAGCGCCCTCAACGTATGTTGGACCACTACTGGAGACTGCTATACAAAGAGCACCAATTCTCCATATTCAAATGGGGTATGTATTAACTTGTATACTGTGTTTGCTTTAAAAACATGTTCGAATAGCTACATGCCGTTATGGCGAATTTGACTCCATGCATGAATTAACTGAACCATAATTTAGCTAAAGTGCCAACAATCTCATTTGAAAATATACTTTATTTTAAATTAGTGACATCTTGAATTAGCAAAATTACAGATTAGCTTAATTAGCTAAAATAACATGCTAGCTAAAATATGTTTTACAGTATTATGGCATTAGGCACATATTAAGGCAAATACATTATTCCAAAATTTTATAAATTTTGTCAAGTTCTTTACCAAAGCTTTTGTATGATAAATATTTTGGTTTAAAGAGTTTTGAGTCACATTGAAGATTATATGTCATGTTCGTCATACTTGTTATTATTGTGAGTCTTTTCCATCAGAATGATTTTCTGAGAGCCAAAATATCATTGAAAATGTAATTTTTACACAGATGTCTATGATGAGATTATTTTTTTCAATTCACTACGTTCAATTACCCACCATAGACTCTGGTCAGTCAAAATGACTATTTTGAACTGTAGGCATTAATCAGCGATTCTGCCGGTGATGGAGAGATAGAATCTAGGTCAGGGGAAGCCCTATGACCTCAAGATTCTTTTACCCCTTACGTCACGAACCCACGTGACCGAGGCCACATGCCAACGCCATAGGTAGCCGTCCATCACTCTTCAATTTTCTCCGCCTTGTCGGGAAATGATTCTGAGCGGCTCTGTTGCTTTTTCCTGTCCGGGTTTCTAGCGTGGGTCATCGCCACAGCCGCGGCATCCGACATTCTAGCTGGTAGTTTTTCTTTTCTTTTTACCCTCGTGTCGTTTTCCCCTTTGTGTGTTATGCTTTTCCACAACAAAGAAATCAAACCCGGCGCCACCACGTAACCACATGTTGATTTCATGGCGGCACCTTTTACAACTGTAATTCGTTTCCCTCATGCATGTCGTCTTTTATTTTTAATGTGTTTAGAAATGGACAGATGCACTGGCAACGCCAGAGGCTCACCGCCGGTATTGTCTCCTCAGTTTATGAGGCGGATTTGTACTCAGTGTACGCAGCAATTGCAGGAATGGAACCCGCATTCAAAGTGTTATCGTTGTTTCATGTGCGTTCGGGGTTCGGGTATCAGCCCAGAGAATATGTGTAATCGCTGGGGTTCGGAAGCCTGGGAATCGTTCCAGCAGCATGTCAAAATAGCCAAGACTGACCGCGTCGCTCAATCGCGAAAAGGTCACGCGGCAAGTGCTACCGGCATGGGTGTGAGTGAGTTGTGCGTTGGCATGAATGACAAGTCCTCGCGCTCGGCTACCGGTTCTCATACTGGGATACCAAGCAAAGGGCCCGATAGTGGGGGTGCTGTCTCCACTGCGGCCTCTCAGCCGGCAAGTAGGAAGAAATACAGAAAGCACTGTTCGCATTCTAAACACGTCTCTTCCGGGGAACCCCCCGTTCCCAGCCGTGTCCCCCACGCTGATTCGGGGGAGGCTGAAGCTCAGGCTAGTGGCAGCAGGTCTCCTCGGGAACCTCAGACACGTAACACCAACGGGAACGCTGGTAGCCAGGACTCCGTTTTCGGGGCAGGGCATTCGGGTCAGGACATACATTGTACACCCTCCCCTCCGCTTTCAACCAGCCAGGGTTCACCGCGCGGTATCAGACTGGTTAATTTACCCTCAAGTCCGAGTTCCGCTGTGGGTTTCGACTCCCTTCTCGCCGACTCACAGGCGACCCTGTCATGAGACGCACTCATGAACACGCTCTCGCCCACATATTTAGGTGGCAGAGGTGGCAGTTCACTCGTGTCGGATACAGTGGGTACCTCGGGCGGCCCCTCCGAGTCCACATTGCGTAATGACTCGGTGAGCCATGCCGTTGGGGTGATGCGGAATATTATCAGTCCAGGTGATGCTATGTATATTCCCCCACCCTCGATCCTAAAGCAGCCGCTTACGGTCGCTTCTACACTGATGGGATCACAGGTGCCGGGATCCAGATTGACCCCATCTGCACGTCTCCCCTGGTCTAGCCGAGCGCTGAGCGTGGGGGACGGCGCGCAGACGGTGTTGAGGGGTGATCGTTGGTCAGCCGCGGAGGAGGTAACGCCGAAAGCCCCGGGCTGGGGTAATCTTTTGCATAACTCCTTTCGCTGGACTAAACGCTACCCCATCGGGGCAAAATGGGATTCGGACCCCAATTCGTGGGACGAAACCAGAAGTCCCCAACCAGACCCCAAGACTCCTTCCCCGGACCCCGGTACCACAAACTTCTGTTTTGCCAACCAGGTGAAGGGGGATGGCCGCGTTCCATGGTCATTCTCATCGACCCATTCTGAGACTATCCAACATGCCCTGAGAGCGGAGTTGCGACCCATCAATTTCCTTGAATTTGTGGGCGGCACATTGGAGCACATTCTTGTGCGCGCCTAGGACTCTGAGACCTCAGATGCAGAACGCACTCGCCTCTTAGACCAGGCGACACAGTTAATGATAGGCCATCGTACGGCTATGTGCGATATCCTCCAGTGAGTGTCATATGTCTCTCTTGGCCGGGGCTACTACTGTGCAGCGAGACCCGGTTTTAGACACATGTGTTTTCGCCGGCGAACTGAGTCAGGGGGTACGCCACCGCCTCAGTTACGCAGACTGGAGATCCTCCACCCTCTTTGATGAGGAGATAGCGGGGGCAGTTGCAAGGCTTCGGGGTGTAACAAACCAAATGGTTCAAGTCGAATCCGCTAGCCAGTTGGCCGCTGCCAAGGGTAAACGGAGGGCGCCCCAAGCACAGAAAGCACAACGCCCTAGGACTAGCTCTGCTAAAGAGAGTCAGCCAGGAGGCAAGCGTTCGTACCCATCCGCGGGAGGGAAGGGTAGCGGCGCGCCCCCAGCAGTGTTGCTGCCAGGCTGCGTCATCGCGACATTCTCGCAAAATTCACAGCAATGACGCGTTATTTTACAAACCCTGGGCCACAGTTGACGTGA